GATATTCAATGGTATATCGGTTTTCATATTTATATCTACTTATATATTTATATTCATATATATATTTACAATTATATATATATATATACATTTATATATATCATAGATATTTATAGGCATATATATATTTGTATGCCTATATTTATAAATAGCCATGTTTATATATATATTAATATATACATCTATATATATGCATATATATATATTAATATATATATATTAATATACATTTATATATTCATATATAATATATATATCATATATATCATATATATAAATATATATATATACTATATGTACATCTTTGTTATCCACAGAAAGTTCATGTAGAAACAACTTCCGAACCCGTTCGTCCTGAACTTGTCCTTCTTTCGCAGTTAGTTTTAATGTCATTTTTACGAGTAAGGTACAAAGTGTAGATCAGAAATTACTGTATTCTTATCAATTGATAAAATGCTCCTTGGATCATAACTGAAGCAAACATAGGATATGCTCAAGTTCGCGCTTTTTCAATTCTACACCTCAAATTTACGAACATAGAATTGCGATCCAAAAAAAAAAATCGGAAAAGCGTCGTACTATTGTCGCTGAGAGTTTAGTAATATCATCATATTCAAATATCCAGATATCTCTACGGAAAGGCTGCCGGTCAGAAAGATCCAATACTTTGTGACATGGTTGCATCAGCAGACTACACGCAAGGATTGTGGATCAATAATTGCGCCGAGAAGTCGATACTTTCGCACGGTAGCCTGCATAAGGTAAGTATCTCTTTTGTGTGCGTATCAGTATAGAGGTGTTCTTTGACTTAACGGGAAAATGTTAGCAATATAATGGACCCCAAATCGAACTGAAGATGTTATCTGCGATCTAAGATTATAGTGCTATTTACATGCTGGACGATATCATCCCTCTGATATCACCTGGTTAGCTGAAAACTAGTCGCGGTGTGATACTGAACATCGCTGTAGTATGCTATATAAGCAACATACTTTAAACTTCGTGGTATAGTTTTTTTCGTACGGATTTACAACGAAGCACGTTGGTCAAAGCCGACATCGACGCATGTAAGAGTTGCCTTGTGTTTGGTAATGGTTGACCGACTGCTGTGATGTGCATTGGTACCGTGGGCAATCATTGACATTTGATCGCAGTGTATACAACCAAGGCTATGGTACTGTAGCATGCATAGTCTGTCTATTACCCTCTCCAGGCTATCTGAGTATCTACAGTCATTATGGCTTGCCTGCTGTGCTTCCCACTCCTTTACATCAATGTCGCAAGTACACGTATCTATTTCACGAGTATCGACAGAACGCGTTTGTCACGAGCGAGGTGTGGGTTGATTTTCAGCTAGAAATACTTTTCAATTGACAGTCCAATAGAGTCATCAAAAACCAGTGTAGAGTTTTATGAAACACCTAGAATCGACAGTTCACTGAAAATGTATGCGAATACGCATACATCGACACATCAATACCTTTGAGACTCACGGTTACGGCATGTGCTGCTTAGGTACAAAGCTGAAACCTATTTGGGCTGTAGATCTGTAACGCCTATATAAATGAATGCAATGAGTTTGGCTACAGAATAACATGACACTAGTGCGATTACTCTTCAGTACACATACACACAATCTGCGATCGAGGAATTCGGGTCGGCTGGCGGTACGGCGAAATCGAAATCATGCGATGAGAAATTGGATCGAGTGAATACCGTACAGTTCTACTGGCAGCCAAACACGTGTGCGTTGCAACCGTTCGAGGAGAAGCAAATGAGACAGATACTAAAGGATCACAGGTATGTTCGTCGCACGGTGGGATTGTACAATCATACAAAATAGTGCTCTGCCTCAACGGTAGAATATCTTAAGGTGGCCAAATAGCATCCACGAATTTGCGCTTTTTACGCGTCGAATACATTTAGATATTAATAGTATGCAGCTATGTTGAAGATTAACGGTGCAGTTCAGCATGCCCTCTAATTTGATGTGTAAATTTTAGAAATTTGAGTGGTACAAATAGATATAAATGATTTCACGGGCTCGAAAACACAAGCACTCTAATACACGAAGGACGAATGTCCTATTTTATCAATCCATTAGTGTGCAGAAATGTTTTCAACTGTAGTGAATTCCTGGACTGTTGGTGACTTTTTTGTGTATGGAAGTTATTATTGGGTGCTCTAGTGTTAATTTAGTTCACTCGTGTATGATTTCATTTATTACGATTCTAGTGTCAACTGTATTGCATTTGTTGGCGGTTACTTTGTGTATAAAAGTTATTAATTGGGTGTGTACTTAAATTGATTTGATGCAATCGTGTGTATTTCGTTTACTGTGATTCAGCCGCATCACTTGCTTTGTCTGTGTGAGAATGCCCCTACACTACATGCGTACTGTGTGGTGCATTGTCTATTGTGGCGCATCATTGTGTGGACACTTGATCGTACCTCATTGGGTGGATTGCAAATGTGACAACATGTTTTCTTGATAGTCCAAACATCGAGTGGGCAAGCAAAAACATTAACGATTAATAGACCTGATAGTTTAGATACATAAACTTTATTGACAAGTTGGTTACTTTAACCCTTATGTGTGCCGTAGATCTGTATGTTACGTTTTAACACAACCCACTAGGGTCCAATCTACAATCCCAGGGGGTGCCTCTTAGTATATATATATATATATATGTGTGTGTGTGTCTATGTTCCTTTGGATGTCGGAGATACTATCATATAAGAAATTGGGTTGTTTGTGTATTTCGATGTCTCATCTTTCCTATTAAAGTAGGATGAATTCACCTGTATATGACACTCCCTAAAGATAAACCTATTTTATTTCTATTTATTTGTTAACTGTCGCTGGTGCGCTCCACCAAGGCTTGTCAGTGAATTTTACTAAGCTTTAAACGTTAATCCTATTTAGGATACTGATGGTAGGTGATTCGTTGATGGGACAGATGTGGGAGTCGATGCAGCTGTTGAGTGGTATGGACGTGCCGTACCATAAGTCTTATATGCTTGTCAACCACAAAACGCTGTTTCCCATGGACCATTCAGGTGTGACATAATTGTACGCATCTCTTACCTAAATTTATCGTGAGATTGAATTTGCTGTACTATGTACCCGTGAAAGTATGCATCTAATTTTGTCTACACTCATTACTTTTTAGAATATCGATGCCTTACATATTTTCGCATTTATATGAAACCATTATCATACAGATGCATACATATGTACACATACATCTGTGTATATACTTATATGTATAAAGGTATGCTTGCATATAGGTACATGTTCTTCTGCACTTAGTTTGTGCGCTTATTTTTGTCTATGACTTGGCGTATAAATTGTATTGACATGCAATTCTGTTCACATAGTACCCCGTTGACTTTCGTATATGTGTAAAATATATGTTTACGTTTACAATATTATCTCTGAATATGTGGAATTCGCCATGATGTTTGTTGATACTCGATAAACCCTAAAGAAGTGAAACTCGGGATACTCTGGGGCGAATCTTGCTATCTGCATATCATAATACCACGAACTGTCATTGAACGTCGCTCGCTTTCGATTCTATACTCAGACGTGATGGAGTGCCGTAGACTGCGGGAGTGGGTTATTTCCGATGGTGCTGATTCTGATGAAATCTCAGCAACGCGTTATGCCTGGATGAATGCAACGGAAGGTCAGCTCTGGGAAGATATATGCCCCACATTTACGAGCAAGCAATATCATCGAGAGGTATTCTTGCCTCAATGTCATTTGAACAATGGTTGAAACTTAACCTACGCACGTGCTGAGGTTTATGTAGTTTGCTGTTGTTCAGGACTTTGCCTCTCTTCTGTCAATAATATTTGACGGCGCACCAGATCTATAACGATGCCCAAATAATCACGCGTGCCGTTGATCACGGGATATCAAGAAGGATTATACTTGTGCGAGCTTAACCGATAAATATTTAATTGTGATATTAAGCAGTTGGTGCCCGTCGTTTTGTAGTTTTGCCTTTTTACTACTGGGAGCGTGCGTTCTTACGTGTTTTCATAAATATGTTAACGCGTTCTGAGCCTACCTCTGTGGATCTTCAGATATTTCTCACACCAGATGGGAGACAAAAGTCCACGTTAACGTGTTCTAATGCACCCTGCGCTCGTAGTCGTTTACCGACAGTTGAGCCAGATACTCGTGTACACGCAGTCAAATAGTTAAGATTATCTGGCAAATACTTTATCCCGAGAATTCAGTTTAAAATGGTATGAATCTAGAGTAGATATTCCTTTATTTCATGCGCCTTATTAAGCACAAAGGCATATTCATATCCCTGCCCTGTTTAGAAGTTCAGAACGAGATCGGATTTATGTACCATCGTTATTCAATGCTGTGTCTTGTTGTTTGGACCTGAGGTGGCGGTCGGTGAAGTTGATCAGCTTCAAGAGGAACAGTATATCCGGTACACATACTAACAAGACGTCCAAATCATCTTTCCTCTCAGACATCGACATTAGACTGGACCTATAAACTGGCAGACACCGATGTACTGGTTTTGGCCACCGGTCACCACTTTCAAAAGGAGGATCGCACGCTCTCGAAAGCTTTCCCGCAGATGATTAAAAATCTAATTAAATACTTGAGAAGGATAAAATACACCGGCAAAGTATGTGCAGTTATCTGTTGTAGCACTCAAGATGTATGTGTTAGAGTGCATGTTGGCATTTACATTCAAGAGTCCAACTATATATCACGATTAAACTAGTGCCTGTTCTCTCATGCGCCACGTGGATTACTAATCTGGAAAAATGTAGTACACATATGTCGCCGACACGCCCGGTCTGTATAATACTGAGCGTAGCGACGGTGTTGACTCGACACTGTCGTGATGTCCGCTTGGGATCTACTCGTACGACATTCAGTGAACATATTTTTGAAATCTCGCACGCAACTACTTTGTACTTTCTCCTTGTCGTATCATACATTTCAATCGACTTAATTACAAATCGATCTAGGGCTGACTCGCCTGTGACGGTAGTAGTATGTCTAGATACACTTGCCTACCCGCCTAATCACCGATAGATTTTTGGGTTTATATGCTATTAGGCATCCACAGACACATAATTCAAAGCACGAATGTCTTTCCTGTGTACTTGCAATGCGCTCGCAAGGTCTACTGCTTCCAACGGACCTTATCTGGTAGCACGGGAACTGACTCGCCATTTGTGTCTTGTCGAAGGTGCTTTTACGTTAATGTCTCATAGTCTATCTTGGCCTCGCAGATCATAGTTTCAACAGCTCCACCGGGACACGAAAATTGTGACGAATATAGGGTGCCAATTTCTAAAACACCAGCCCCAGTCCCCACAGAGTATCATTGGGAGGGCATAACAGCCGTAGAGTTTTTGTGGAACGAGACTTTCCACAAGTCGTCATTGAGGGACAATTTCTAGTATGTATCAAATCGTACTATTTGTTGCGAGTAATACTTATCTCATTTTTCTCGTGCACAATGTCGTAGCTTACCCTTTGGAAGCAACTTGTAAGAAATATGAATAAGTACAGGATACTTTTATTCTTATGACAATGTACTAGAGACAAAACGCGCAACGATCACATACTATATACCGTCAGTGACCTAATCGGTGCTTTACTGGCCAGGGCTGGTGAATGTAATTATTACAGTCAGTCATGTCGATTCCTGTGCTTAGTTATGAGTGTTGCGCCATTGTTCAATCGGCTTTTTTTTCATCTCGCAGCATACTCAATGTCACCTTCTCGGATCTTCGGCCGGATGCGCACTTCAGTCAAGGCGATTGTCTGCACTACTGTTCGGCGGGTGTGCCTGACAGTTGGGTGCATGCGCTTTATAATTTACTTTTACAAGTGCTGTACTAGTAATGATTAAAGGCAAATTTTGCGAGCTTGATTCTAGAGTGTAGACCCTCGGGGCTATGATATTCAACAGGTAGTATATTCATTTATTTGTTATCATCCTACATGTGTCCTCAAACTTCAAAGCTATTTTCAGAGACAACATGCAGTGATTCGTGATTCTATTGGCTAATTTGATTGTATATCGCATCATGATGTCCTTCACTTTATTGCGAAGAAATACACAAAGTGAGTATTTATTTATAAAAAGCTACCTTGTATTTGAAATGTTTCAGTGGTGCGCCCGGTAGGGCCACCCGCTGGGAGGAGGGTTAAAAATTCGATAAAACGCAATTCTGAATGGTTGTTCTCGGAATTTTTTTGTCGACCACGCTGTCCCCCCCCCAAAATAAAAGGTACATCCGACTTATGTATTTACATTATGTTTTCCTTGTTCCCCAATCAAGTCTGGAGTCCTGGACTGCCTTGCACTTCTTGGAATCAATTATACCTTCAATTGACTTCTATATTTCGCATTCTATATTTCGCATACGGCATACTGGTACTACCCCACGGCACAGGCTACAGCCCTACATTCTGCTCTCCACAGTTCCCAGCTCCACGCTCAACAAGAGTACACATTTACGTATATTTCTACAAAATAGCCAAATGAATTACCAACAGTCGCCAGTCGATCACCCCGTCCGCGGCACCCCCGTATAGTGCACAGTGCACACTGACTGCCATTATAAAGGGTATTTGTTAATCACTTTGCGTGAGCCGTGTTGACATTGAACTGCTTGTTCATCGGTCACCCTCTATTGCATACATTTTTGAAAAAAATCACATACAGCACTGTCAAGCTCAGCTACAGATATTTTATTTTAAAACTCTGTCCTAAGAGAGTTGCTTAGCAACCCATAAGAAGTTGCCAAACTATGATAGGCATGCACGACTCCGGATATGCAGTGAAAATACGCAAATAAAAAACAAACAAAAAGTATACCCACCAATATATATATATATATATGTATATGTATATATATATATATATATATATATATATATATATATATATATATATATATATATATATATATATATATATATATAT